CCTCAGCAGACACAGGGCACGAGATCTGACTACATTACACTCCTGTCTGCTATCGAACCCAGGCCTGAAAGCTGTGTCAGTAGCACTATCTACAATGCCACCGTTTTGTTCATTAAGTATAATGCTTAGCAGAACTAGAGTCAAGATGATGTAGTCAATTCGATGTTCAGATAATATTTGATTAGATGAGTCTGGATTTATCAGAGTAAACCTGAAAAGAGATTTTTGTTGTTCTTCTTAGCAAATTGCTGACAGGCATTGAAATATGCATAGCACAAGAAGTGGTGTTTTAAATTGAGCTTAATTTGTTGGCAATTCTTTGGACTCTCTTCTTAGGATGCATGGATATTTGTTTTGTTTTCCAGAATAGTGCTTCGGGTAATAGCCTGAATAAAAACTTTTATAGCTGAAAATCCAGTTATCAGAGATTTTCCATTTTTGTCCAGTTTTGGCTTTGTTAACTAACCACTAGCAGTTAATTATCTATTCTAAAATCCCATTGGATGTGTCTGTTTACACATTTTCTGGTCTACATTTGGTTACTTTACAATGCCAAACTAATATACATAAAAAAATTAAATACATGATCCAAGTGTACACATCATACCAGTCTTGTTAATATCACCATTAGTGCAAGATGAAAACAAATTACTGGTTATTATTGGTTTCAAATTCTATTGCAAAGATACTTATACTCCAGTGGATTTTACTAGAAGTTATCTGAAAAAGCATTTTTTACTGTGTATTACTGGACTATAAGGAACCCTTAGGGCAGGCTGAAGAAAAATAGCATAGTGATACATAATTGAATTACCAGATGCAGTCTAGTGTCAGATTACTGTTTGTTTTCAGAGGTTATTTCACTTGCATGAAACTTGACTGACTCACATTTTTTATTCATTTTAGCTAGTTTAAACCTACTCTATATGCTATTACATTTTTCATGCATTCATGCATTTTTAAATGAGGAAGGAAGGTTAAATAGTTAACATGGGACAAATGTACCTGACTTCCTGTACTTGAACTTTGTGTTCCACCTTTTAATAAGGTCCTCATTTCAAGTTAAATATCCAAGACTAGGTTATAGCTTTGGAAACCCAATTGAAAATAGCAGTGAATTGGAGGAGTACATTGGCGCCTTAAGTATACAGTAGCTACTCAGCAGTGTCATTCATTATTGATGTCCCTGATTTTCACAATTTGAGTGTAAAAGAGTACTTAAATAGAATTCTGATGTGTGCTTTTTTTGCAATCATTTTTTTTTGGGGGGAAAGCATTGGAAAATAAAATGACATAGAAAAATAATCAAATTTCTGCCCATGCTCAGGACATGATAGGTATGGATGGAGGCTTTGAAGTAGGGGAGTGTCCTGAGGGCCCAGGGCACATTTCAGAATGGTTTCTGGTGATTATTGATACTATCTACTAATACTTTTTGTTTATTACTGAGCAAAGAATACTTCAAGCAGAATGCATGACTACACAACATTACTGCTCAGGAGACATTCAGTACTGAAAAGGATTCTTTAAAATATGTTAAAGAGTGTCAGAAATACTGATGAACAGAATCATATAAATGTGTGAATTAAAGCAAGTCACAGAACCTTGTCACCAATATGTTGCGTGGCACAGCACAAGGTACAAAAAAACAAATCCAGACATATCTGAAAGATACTGTATACCCTGCCTGCACAGCCAGACATAAATGCCAAGCATTTAGAATAGGGATGGAGTTTGAGGTTTTGAGGATATAATTGACATGGATTTAGAAATGGTGGATCTTATTGTTAGAGTTAAGGACATATGAATTTTTACCAGTGAGATCGTTCAGCCCATCTTGCTCATTTGTTTTTTTTTTTCAATAGCTAACTAATCCAAGGATCTTATTGATCAATTTCTTTAAATAAATCAGAGTATCAGCTTATACAGCATGGCTCTGTATGTAGCTTGCTCCATATTTCCATAACCCCTTGTGTAAAGAAATGTCTGCTATTCTTAGTTTTGATTGTGCTTAATACACTTTTGTCCTCAGACTAGAGAAAGCATTTAGAGTTCTGCATGTAATATTGGTCACATTACAAAAAAATGCGGCACTGGAATCTTAATAGAAGCCAGGTAAATTCACACTATTAAATACTGTAAATGCCTTACACTGGCAGCCTTAAAAAATTGATTATTTTTAGTTTTGAATAAAAAGACTATGAGCTGGCCTGATTGAGGAATTGAAAATCCTCAAAGGTATTGACATATTAAGCTCCTTCAGATCAGCAGTGAAACAAAACAGGACAAAGATAGAAACTACAGGGAAAAGCATTTTAAAACGAGCAAGAGGCACTTTTTAATACAAAAGGTAGTGAGTTTCTGGAACAAGCTAGTTAAGTTGATACCTTGTCTTTTTTCAGACAATGGCCGGGTGAGACCATTGAATTGATTATCTATTAGTAACCAAAGAAAGTAAATGGGTTGAATGGCCTCCCCATGTTTGTAGTGTTTTTAAAGATCTAATTAAACCATACTTTATTATGAGTTACTGGGTTCTGTAAATGTATGTTCTGCGAATATAAATCAGCAGACACAAGGTTTTGAGATCAGTTACTGATGAGCCCAGCTCCAAAGGTGATTAACAGATTCTACTGTCTTCTTGGCTTGGTGAACAATCATTTAAAAAAATATATACAAAATAGACTAGACCTTTTTGAATTCTTTCCAGTTCTAGAATGATCAGTTAAGAATGTATACAGTACGTACTGCAACTTAATAACTTTTTTATGACTGGAAATACCTGAACATGTTTAATTTATAAAGTTATTAGTTAGGGTTTAATTAAGTAACTGAAATTCATTCAGTTTGAAAGCCAGTAGCCACAGAAATTCAAATACCAGTATCGGAAAGCTCTACTTTATAAGGAATAAACAAAATGTACTGCTGCAGTTTTTTCCTGGACTTCAAAAGCCAGAAAAATGTCATGCAAGTGTCTCGATGTGGAATTAAGTGAGCTTTTGGGTCTCTTCTGCTTGTGAAATACCAAATCTTCCAGTCAACATGATACAGGCTTTGAATACAGAGCTGAAAGAGTAAACTGCAGGGTAGTTCAGGCTTCTTTGGCTCATGGAGGGTATTTTCTTGTTCCTGAAGACACGTCGTTTTGCTGATTAATAGAGCAATGACTTTTCTGGATAGTAAATGAATCAGGTGCATAAAATATCCATGAAAAACATAACCTTTGTTTTGTCAACATTAATGTTCACTGAGAATTTGGCATTCAGTGAGCTAATGACATTTAGTATGGGAAACAAGTGAAACATACTTCCCTACACAAGAGCCTTTATTTGACCATGGAAATGAGGTTTCAAAATGTAATTCAGGCTTCTGTGAGTCTGGTCTACTCTACTCTTACTCAAAAGGACAAAATAGTTTTTAATTGTTTTAGAATATAGCTCATTACTCATTTAGTGAGTAGCATTTAGGAATATTATGTTTGACAAACTGAGCTGAGATTTAACTGGCTTGCGAAAATTGCCAGAGATTTCTTACAGAGCTACAGCAATTAAAGAAAATATACAAACCACAAACTAACTTTACTCATGAACTAAATGACTCCTGTCAACAAGGTCACCTATCCATGCTAATATTTTTCAGGCTGCTAAACCCCTTGGTAGTCATGTGAAGGCACATCTGTATCCAACGTATCTTTATGAAGATGCTGAGTGTGATTTTTCCCCCTAATTTATTTGCTATTTTGTTTAACGAGCAAATATATATTTTAATTACGCGTAGGATATATCTGTATTAGATTTGCAGAACAATAAAAATGAGCAAGCAAGAGATTTTATCTGTCTCCTGGGTATGTAGGATGAGGCTGTTTAAATTCATAAGGGGCGTCTTGCTCATTTGTGAAATCTACAGAGGCAGTTTTGTAGTCAACTATTCCCACTTGGTCTCATAATGAGATCTGTTTATTCAGTTACAGGTGTTGGTTTGTAGAGCAACGCTTGTAACCCAAAATCTGTCTTTAATTCTACATACCCTGAAAATAATTTATCGTCATATCAACTGTCTGTGTTTTTTAAATCACCAATATAACAGAAAATGTCAATGGACACACAACATGGAGTATATAACAGAAATTCAGTTCAGAAATTCAGGAGGAAGGTTCGCTTATGAATATAAGACTCGTACCCAGGAATTCCCTTCTTGTATCTCTCCTGCAGCCCCATCTACACCCCTGCAGCAGCTCCCCAGCTCAGTCCTCACAATAGAGTGAGAGGGTTCAGGCAGCCTCTGCCAGACAGCCAAAGCTAAAGCTCTCTAAATATTTTGTCCTTCTATCACATTCATTAGGATCTAACTGGACTACTGAAAACCCATCTAAGGTGTGAGGCTAGGGAAGATCTAGATCACTTTTATTGCACTGATATGTCTAACTAGCCTACGAGAACTGTTGTACCAGAAGATCTGTTTTGTGTGCATCTGAGTCACACTTCACTGCCACACCCTAATATGCTCTTCACCTTTTAGTCACATAATTTATAAGATGTATTTTATTAGGTAATTGTAAATAGATAAAATGGTCACATATCCATTTATATGTAGTATTTTATCCAGACTGTACACATGATAAAATATTGAGAAGAATTCACTATATTCAAATAGTTAGCTGAAAGAGATGCTTTTATGCTACTTAGTGTTTTAAAGGTGATTAGAGTGCAGTCTCATTTTTTTTTACCTCTAGCATTCTATACCTATTAGTCTTTCATATTTCTAAGCTAACAATTGTTTCTGGTATTTTGGGAATATTTTGTATTTGCTCGTCCACTAGTAATTCTAAGTGCTCTAGATGAACTTAAAGAAGTTACACATCTTTGTCAGAACCACATCAGACATGAAGTTACATGTCTTTTGTCATGAGCACATCTTTACTGTATTAAAGGCTGACATTTTATGGGGTATCAAAAAAGACTTAAAAGTTTAAGGGTACTTTCAAGAAAAACAAGACAGTATCAAAGATTGGGTCAACATTTTTAATGATCATTTTTGTAGAATAGGTCGTACATTTTCACAAGCTAAGTAGTAATGTGGCATATAGCTGAAGGATCTTTAAATTTCTTTTCATAAGTATAAATGTTCTTTTTTACAACCAAAATAATGTGGATTGTATGATTACAAATAATGAACGTTTCATTACATTGCATTCTGGGATTATAATTACTGTACCCAAACCCAACCTCTGCAGCATTTTCTGGTGTCTTAGATCCTCTTATTTAACCTATAAGAGGAGTTGTTCAATGTAGACACTCAGGTTCCAAGTTTGGAAAAGACTGCTTCTGTTCCTGTCTATAACACAAAGGCTACAATTTGCTTGGCCATGTGCCCATTAGCCAGTAACAAACTGGCATGCAAATATTTCCTAACAGAATAAACCCCAAATGATAACTGTCAGATACACAAAATGTTAATATATTGAGATTTTGCTCATATTTTGTGCTGCATGTTTGCTTTGGAGAAAGTAGTCTAATACAAAATATTAAAATTCCATCCAGGTAAAAGGAAAAACACAATTAGAAAAATAAAAAGGTATTTCACCATAATCAAGCTTATAGTTGGGCGGCAGCAGAAATGAGTGTTTTAACATACTAGTCCTATTAATATAGGACAGATGTAACAATAATATAAAAAAATACATTTGCTAAAAGCTTTCTGCATTATACGTATCACTTTTTTTTGAAAGCCTAAACCCCAAGAGAAACTACAAAGCATATTAACACATTTCTTTAAGAAAATGTTGTTTTTAATACACATTTTCCAAATTCTGTCCTCATTTGTGGCTTTGTCATACATATTTCATCTTCTCTGGTTAGTTACATAAGAATATTATATATTCTGTATATAGATGTGACCAATACATTTTTATCCTGAAACGTGGTGTAATATATGCGAAAGCCACATAAAATAATGCACCACAATATAAACAACGGTAACATATGTGTGTTGCTGAAGTATGTTTATTTTTGTATGCAGATATTCACAGTAAATCATATTAATGGATATAACTAATTAATGTGGGATTGAGGGTTATTTATCTTGTAATTAATTGCAACTCTCTAAACTCAGTAGACATGAATACTATGTGTTCACTATGGTGCGAAGGCAGTAATTTAGCAGCACTTTTACAAATTACAAAAACTTATAGAAGAAATATATTTTATGCTTAGATCAGGTTCATCTCTCTTACTGACTTTGACATGGTCTTTTTATTGCAGATCACGGACAACATTACGCAAATGACACTGTTTTTTATACAATATGTATGTGAATGCAATATGAAGTTACTGTATATACTGTGTAGCAGTTGAATTGCAAACTGGCTGTTTTTGTGATTATGTGCAATGAGACTAACACTTAATATAAAGTGGTCATTATATTAATCCATATCTGATTGAATCAGATACAGAATTGGATGGGCTCTGAAACTGTTACAGAAGAGTCCTTGCTGTAGTATGCAAGCAGAATCTGGCAGCATTCTTAACTGTAGTGAAAAATCTGTAGATAACGATTCCTAATGCCCTTTTTTTACTTCTGTCCCTTTTTGGTGCTATAACAATATGCATACCATTTTAACAGCGAGCAAATTAATATATTGAATGTGTGATCATTACAGACATTTTAAATGGACTGTGATCTGGTTTGGGGTAAGATTACTGGATATATTAATTATTATATGACAGAAATAAAATCCAAATCCTGTAAATTTGTAAGTCTGAGATGCCCTCAGTTTTAACAAGCTGTTTAAGAATTTGCAGTTACTGTAGATTTCTCATATTTTTTCCCAGGATTTGCAGTAATAAGGGGGTTTGTCAAACTGAAAGAAGATGTAATAAAGACTGTGTGAACGGTTTTGAACTGAAGGGTTAATTCTTCATGTGAAGGTAACAAAATGGAGGACGGAACCAAGACGAAATTCATGTCTGGGACAGAGCTAACTCTTCAGTATTGTAAAACCATCTACATAAACAATTAAATAAGGAGGACATTACTACAGGTAAAAGGTTTGGTTTTTCTCATTTAAATATCTGTAGCAATCCATCCATTAAAAAGGGTGAAGTCTTGAGAAGTCCTCTCTGCCGACCCATCTGTTCACTGCGTGGCTCTCAAGTCCAGCCAGCCACCCTGGCATTATTGTCATCCCTTGTCAGGTTGGAAAAGACAGATGTTGCACACATGTACACCACAAACAAGATTTTCAACAATGAAAATGCTCCTCACAGGTCTTAAAACCAAGTTACTGTACACCAATCAAATCCCTGCCCTTCGCCTCCTGCCCCTCACCTTATCTTAAAGCCTTACCTTTTTCTAAGTTGTTTTCACTGAAAGACTCCACATGCCCACAAGCCATTTTGGTTTGGAATGTAGCACTGCACTGAGTATTCATACAGCCCCCAAAACACCAAAAGCAGCTTCCATTTTTTTTTTGAAAAACAAAATCCAGTTACAACAAAATTATCTCAGAACAGAGATTCAACCTAGCCTCTAGAACCAGAATTAAAAAAAAATACAAGACCGGGAACATTTTTTTTTTAGTATTTGTACAAGTCTGTCCTTTTCTCTTATTTACTGTGGCTACAATATTTCTGCTAAGTTAAAAGCCATAATGGTTGAATGGACCATTGTGACCAAAATCAGCATCAGGCCACTCAGATGGGAAGATGTAGTGGCCCTAGAGGAGATCTTGGACATGGAGTTTGAAGGATTTGGGTCATTAATCTGCAGATCCTGTGAAAAGTGAGAAACAAAATTTAAACTTAGTTAGGGACATTCTTGATCCTTTTCTGATCAAGGAATTACAATCATTTATTACTTAGTACTTGAAAAATATCAAAGAGTCATGCAGTGTTGTTTGCATTATGTCCTTTGCTCTTAAAAGCCGCAAAATTCAAAACCTCATGGCTTCTAGAACAATACTATTCCCAATAAAAGGATTGCTTTTGGAATAAATTGCTCCTAGACTGAAAAAGCACAGAGAGCTGTTCTCCGAGGAAAACATTGTGTTATCTATATTATCATTTTTATCAGATTTGGAATACTTCTATTTGATGTCATTCAACTAATTTCTCATTTAATTGGTGATGATATTTGACTGCATTAATATTGCAGACAAAATGTTCTGTGTATTGAGTACGTAACACATATACTGTATCCAGACACCCCTTATGTCTACAGTATCTACAGTATATAAGCTTTTCAAGAAGTTACACAAAGTCCCATGTAAAGCTTTTAAAAGGAAAAAAAAAACATTCAAAAATAGAACAAACCTTGACTGTGTGTAATCAGAAAATATTTTTAAATGGGTTCACCTGTTTTATGACACTTCTGGCTTAAAAGCAAAATACTAAATGTCACTCAATAGAATTATGCTGATTTATTATGTTGCATGACATTTAAAGAGCTTTAAATGGCAAAAGATAAGGAACAAACAAACCAAAGTACCACAAACTGAATGGAAAATCGTATGCTTGCACTTCCCTTTACACTAGCTGATGTTAGCACATACTGTACACAGCATTGCATGGAGAAAGAGAGGGGCAATTACACTTGTGTCTTCAAAACACAGTAAAGGCCTTATTTATACTACTATAACAGAGGCCGCTGAGCTCTTGTCATGCAGTTTATTTTATTTTAAGCTCTGTGTAAAGCAAAAATCAGTTCTTGTGTTGAAGTTCCTTGTTGATGATTTATTTCAGTGCTGAAATATTTTTTTCAATATTATTATAAGGATACATGTCTGGAGCCTTTGTCTATTAAAATCATTTTCACTAAGAAGAGTTTTATATACAGAGAATGCTCCATTGAAGTAAATTGTGTTTGGGAAAAAGCTGTAGTTGCCTATAATTTAACCCTTTAAATCAGTGGCAAAGGTCTGCAGATGGAGCTCTTTACAATGATAAAGGAAGAGCTCCCTGGGGTTGCTATGTTTGTGACAGTGTAAACTGTCTGCCATGATAAATGAAAACAGAAAATGCTTATTTTATGTGTATGTGCAAGGATATTCAGTTTAGTACATAAAAATTCTAGAAGAAACACTGCTTTATCAAACATCTGCTCAACTGAGCAGTATTCTTTAGAGATGAAGAAAATGTCCTAGATACTTACACACTGATGTGCATCTACTGTAGCATTTGATTTCAATTTCTGAGCCTGCAGACATTAAACATAAAAAGGGTCAATTAAACAAAGGATACAGTTGCCACATACAGTACATAGTTATGACTCCCCCTTGCCTTCACGTTTAGTTAATATTTCATCTGTTCCAAAAGGAGCAGATATATCTCAGTATCACTACAAGAGCTGTGAGGTAAAGCTGAAGGGAGATAAATGTTTAAAGTTGAATACCAAAGTATTCCAGTTTTATTTAAGTATATAAATGGAAGCTGTCTTACATTCATGCTAATGGCATTGCATAAATATATTATCTCACTCTCAAAACCCATCCTATTTTTTTCAGTTACATATTTCTTGCAATAAATCACATTTTCCTATACAAATATTGCAAATACATTCATGAGTCAGTTGCAAGGATTGTTCTGGAGATCTTTAACATTCAGATTTGTGAGCTAACATGCTGATTGCTAGCTACTGTCACCAGAGTTTTCATAGAACTTAGTGAAGAACATTTTTTTTTCTGAAGCCAGAAGAAACAGATTAAAATGAAACAGGTACATGTGTGTAGATACACAGAAATTCCTGGTGAATCAGGCAGGTAACACCAACAATGAATTTAAATGATTTTTTACATACTGTACTTATTCTCCAGTAGATACAGTAGTAAAAAAAAGGTGTAGGCTAACAGCATTGTGAATGAAACAATACAGCTGCAGCACTATCTCATTTTCTTTCAGCAGGCCTCAATCTGGCACACATTATTTTTAAAGCCTTTGTTCATACAGTATACCCCATAACTGATTATGAACAGTGGCATAATGTATTTAAAATCCTATAAATTAATCCCCCCCAAAAAGATAGAGGTGTCTACCATAAACTATTTGCCAAAAATACCATGTTTTGTTAGCATCTTAGTGGATACTGTAACAACTGTTTCTTACTCTGAATTTGTCTTTTATGCTGTTGTGTTTTCAATAACTTTTTTTTTCTACCGGGAAAGCCTCAAAGTGAAAAAAGTTAATTCCATCAGAGCACCTTAGGTTAGAGCACATTAAGCAGTGCTGTAGTCAGCAAGGCTGTTGCTGATGTCTGTATAAAATGTTTTTATTTCCTGTAAATCCACCGACTTAATTAAAGGAGAAAACATAGCTTGCTGCAAATGTGCCCAGAGCTGGTTCATGTAAGATGCAGTTACAGGAAAAGAAAACTTGAAAAAAAAATTTCAAAGCTACAGCTTGGCATGTTTTTAGGTCTTCGGTGAGTGGGGAAAAACACGTTGCAATTTTCAAAAGAGATGTGAATACCTAATATAAAAAAAACAAATGTCAGACACATCTTTCTGAAGACACATATGCTAAAATAGGTGTGGATATGACACCTAAGTCTGTATTTTTTCAGTGGTTCAGGGAGTATTTATTGTACTCAGAGACAACAAGTGCAAGAAGTTTTCCAGTAATAGATTACTGTTGAGAAACAGTCTTGAACAGTCTAATTTATTCCTATGGAGAGAGGTTTGAAAATGCTGGCTGTCAAACGTATATTTTGCTTACTCTTAATGGTTCCATTCTGTGGTTCACTATGAATCGATTATCTAATGGGCTACAACAAAAGCCACTTTGTTTTGGATTCCAGCTCTTGATACAATAAAGAAATATTGCCCGCAGTATCAATAGTAGTATTGTTCTCAGACTTCCTTTTACTAAGCACAGGAAAGTAGGAGTTCCAGTCATTTTGGTTCAAAGCATGATTATTGCATTTTATTTTCAAAAAGGAACAAAAATATCTTTGAAATATGTGAACCTAAAAGTACGTTACAATCCTTGGGCTATCTGACATCATATTCTTATTTAAGTTTTTGTTGTTTTGAAAGAAACTGTTACACTGTTCATAACACTGAAGAAAATTCATTCCTGACCTGTATCTCTGTCATAAAAGTATTAAACTAGTTTAGCTGTTGAACTTTGGCATTTCCCTTCAACAGGAAAGAGAAGGTTCAATTGACAAATTCCAGTAGCAGCCTTGGTCCTCTGCTAATCTGTATGTGAGCACACTGGTCTACTGGTGGCTTTTATGTCAGTTCAGTTCTTGTCTTCTGCACAGTGGGACTGTAGAAACCTTTCGGTCTCAGTGTAGTAGGACTAAATGGTGTCACTATTAATGTTAATATGACTGCCAATTAGTTCAGACATGGCAGCTTGGCAGTATATTTAATACCCCAAGTTTGTACCTCAAGAGACTCCAAATAAAACATTGCAGTGACATTTTATACCCATCAATCATTGTAAAGCCCTTTTTATATTCAACAAAGACTTCTTCGCGAACACTATTGAGCACAGGCAATAAATTAAAAACTATCCTTTCAGAAGGTTTTTTTTGTTGCAAGCTGTTACATTTTAAAAAAAATTCAGTTCTTTGGAAACTCAAACAATTCATTCTGTGTAGATTTAGCAGCTCTTCTCCAAAATACCTGCTGTAAATGTACCTACAGTGGGAGAGGTCAGCAGAGGTTAATAGGGTCTGTAAGAATTAGAACTAAATTCATACTGTTGGAAGACACTTCACAATCATATTAATGAGTACTTTAAAATTCCTCTCTAATTTATGCTTTCAAGTTCTAGATGCAGGCTACAGTATGAAGGGACTTCTATTTCTTTTGACTAGTTCAGTCTTGTACCAGACCCCTTTTCTTGCTTGTTTATTGTAAGAGAGGTCCTTTATCTGCATTATCAGTATGTTTCAGGGCTGGCGTTAATATCTTTGAATGTCTGTATTTGTGCTATATATTCATTATCCTACACTATTAAAACAAAGGCACACCTACTGTTGTAAGGTATGTTACTATCTGCTTTGAGATTTTATGCAAATGAGGCAGAGACTTTTAAGGAAATTATATACTTCCTGTTGTTACTACATTTGAAGCATACAATAAATGGGATTAAAGAAGGAGCAATCATTTCTGAAAGAGAAATCATTTAGAAAGAGACTGAATTGGATGTAAAGGACAAGTTTCCCATCTTATTCAAAAATGTGCTTTATTATAGATGGTACTCTGTGACTCCCATTTGGTTTTAGTTTAACCCTCACATCAGGAGGAATGGTAGAAATAGATGGTACTGATATAAGGTTACAAAAACGCAATGAGTGGGTATGGCTCTGACCAAAGCATATTACTCAAAGGCATCCTTTCACTTTAAATAAATTGTTTCTAACATTCATAGGACAAATATGAAAGAAAAAAAGGTTATACAGGAATTACTTTATTATGCCTTTTATTAATATACTGTTGGTTTTAAAAAGCTTTATCTAAGAGGGCCTTCAACTTAAAATGTTATTTTAATAACATTTATAATATCAATTAAACATCAATATAGCAGTCCAAGAATTATATTAACTTCTAAACTATATCATGGAATCTTCTTGTTGTTGTGCAATAGTATCTATCTTTGATGTTTGGTTCATAGTTTTTAAATGCCAGTCGCCAAAATCAGAATTTGTGAGTATTGTAATGTATATTGTATTTAATAGATAATTAATAGTAATGAGAAACAATTGGGACAAAACTAGTTTGCTTTAAAATCAAAAGCAGTCTAGCTGCTTGCTATCAGTTTCTCTCACCTATTTCTTGAAACGTGACATCTGTGTCTGATATTATTTGACTGATGCTTTTACACAGTGTCTTGTATTTGCAGTCAATTATATGGCTGGCTATTTTAATGAAGTACCTTGCTCAAGGGTATGACCACAGTGTTCCACCCAGGGATTTGAATCCATAACCTTCTAGTTATGAATCCAGAGCCCTAACCACTCCTCCCCTCTGCTGTCTGATGTTCTTTCCAGTTTTAATGGCTAGAATCTTTTTGTAAATTATTTTTGTCATGTCTCCAGGGTTTTATTAAAGATTACAATGCACAATTCTTCACAGTATAGTAGTGAATGCATGCAGTACAGTTGGCTGGGACAACACCACTTAGATTTGGGAAGCTCGAGTCTTGTCCAATGGTGTCCGATGGCAGGAAGGGTTTCTAAGGAAAGTGTGCAGGAAAGGAAAGGAAAAAGTTTCTGTGAAAGGTACTAACGCATTATTTTATATAACCTGTGGAGTGATCCAGTAAGAGATTTGTGTGTTAAAACAACTGGAACTTGTTTTGGAATATGTTCAGCCCCTGCTGTTATAGTACATTTTAACATTTAGATTGCCATCTTTTGCTCCTGTTGTGGTTTTGTCTGCTTAGGAAAGGAGGCTGAACCCAGGAAGTTGGAGGATGACAGCTGTCAGATATCCAGAGACTGAGGATATCTGAGACTTTGATGACCATGAAACAGTGAGTGCAATATACTCCCCAATAATGACACAGCTAGAGGCCAATAACCATGAACACCCCACAGATCAAACACAGATAGTATAAGATGAGATTATTATTGTGCTATCATTCCTCACATGAGTGTTCAGGACTCCCAGTAGCTAGGGATATCCTTTTGGTATAATGGATTTGGTGCTCATCTCGGCTGGTGGCTTATGTGCTATGATGTCCCCAAGAAGACAGATGTTTGAAAATGGAATTTGACTGTAGTGGACAGAAAGCATTGGTTCTGTGGCATGGATCATAGTGAAGGATGCCTATAACTTGTGGAGGTTGCTTTGGAGTTTATTGGGGGAGTACAGCTAGGGAGAATATAAAAACTCCTAGCAGAAAATTGCCTGTATTCTGGCAAAAATGGTTTAGTGCAGGAAGGTGCTGTGTGAATCTGGGGTCCAGGTACATAGGCTACAGCATGCAGCAGAATTATATATACTCTTAAGCAGCCTTAAGCCTTTTAACCCAAAAGAGAGAGGTGTTTGCTGAAATTGGACATGACTACCCATGAAGGACTGTGTTTATAGTCCTGTCATAAATACAGAGTCACAGTTTTGGTTTCGGCCGTGGAGCCTTCTTCAGGTGTGAGAGAGACAGGGCTGTAGGCAAAGGTAAAGTAGCGGGAGAACAAAGGTTGGGAGGGAGGAGGAGTGAGAGGCGGGAGCAGGGGACAGAAAGAGAGGCCAATCAAGAGGTGTGAAGTCAGAATGGGTGCAGAGAGGTGTGAAATGAAACTTCCAATGAATGGAGAAAATTTAAAAGAACAGTAATCTGTCGTTAAAGGAAGGGAG